AGAAATGTGTCTTGTCATCCCCCAAAGCCGTGTACCAAATTTGGTGTTGATGGAGTCAAAATTGTAAAAGTTTATGTCACTTTACTGTTTTTCAAATTATGCAAATTAGCAAAAAATCTAGTCAGACGGAGCTTAATGGTCCCAGAGGCTTTTTTGTAGAGCACATTGAGCTGGACCTGTGTGTCAAATTTCAAGTCAATCAGACTTATGGTGTGAGGGGCGTGGCCTCCCAAAAAAGTCATTTTTAAGCCTTAATTACAGCGCCACCATGTGGCTGACTGGGCTCATATTTTAATAAAAGTTGATGCACATCATTTCCAATCATTGGGCCAAGTTTCAGGTTTCTGGCTTATTCCAGCTCACGGGAATTTGAGCTCAAGCGGCAGACAACAAAAAATAATAATAATAATAATAATAATAATAATAATAATAATAATAAACCGGTAAAATCTTAGAAGGGTTCTACCCCTTCGGGGTTAGAACCCTAATTAACCCCGACTTCCTGTCATGTTTTTTAATCACTGATTTTTCAGTTGACTTCCAGAACATTGTCATGACATTCTCTTTATTAACTTGAATTATTGCCACTCACAGTGAACTTGGACCCATGGCTCCTTCAAAAGCGTCTTCTCCAATGTCACTGAGATACCTATTGTCTCTCAAAATCCTACAAAAGACACAAAAAGCAACTGTAACACAAGTGGCCTCCAGTCCAAACAGCAGTTTAGCAGTTAACATGCAATATGAAAGGAAATTTAAGATGACACATTAATGGCCAACAATGCCCCTCTAACCATTTTTCATTTACTTTTCTGTTTTCTCATCTTGACACTGAGGAGGATGAGCATTATTTTTGGACAGCAGGGTGTCTGCGCATATCTCGTCCCCATCAACATTCAGCAGGACGGGGCAGAGCAAGAAAACAACGGGCATCCAATCTTTGTTTAGTCTTACATAACGTTTGTTTACTGGTACATTCAGTTATTTTATGATTAGGAAAAGAAAAGCCTTAAACCCAAACGGCACACTTAACGGTAAAGTACTGTATCAGCCTGTGATGTTGTTGTTTAGTATTAAGGAATGAACTTCATTATCAGTGCTTACAGTGTGTTGAGCTTGGTTCCATTGAATGCGTGACATTTTATTCTCTTGAAGCCGTTTCTTACCAGGTTCCTGTCAAGGACACAATGTTATGCATCTGCTGTCAAGTGCACCTTCCGTATCACCAAGGTCAGAGAACTGAACATCCAATTACATAAGCATAATGAGACACATCAAAACGCATTCTTAACAAATTGTTGCCCTTAGCTCCAGTAATGTGGTAACAAAAAAATTTGGCTCCTGCACTCACATGTCAACATACTCCTCTGTGATACCCTGGAAAGAATTGGCAGGAATGATGTCAATCCTCATGTTGTCTGCCATTTCTCTGTACACGGAGGAGATAACATTCACTAGGGCTGTTTGGCTTAATTATCAGTTAGACAAAATCATGCATATTCATACAAAAAGAAGAGCAGTTTGATGAACTGTGACCCAGTCGGAGAGTTTGCGGCAGGGTTGGTGGCATTGTGACATTGATAGATAAAAGTTCAAGCGGGCTCAGAATAAACAACTCGGGCTCTGCTTAGTTATATCACGAAGAACATGCAGTTTAGCAACGTGCAAAAAGACACTAATCCAGTTAAGAAACACTATTTTTGAATGTGATTACTTACAGGATAAAATATGGCGCCAGGGAGGAGATAGTTGTGAAGTCAGGGAAGTGTATCAGCCCTGTGTTGGAGATGCTCCTGTAAAAATGAGCAGCAGAGACAAAGGATCGTGAGCAGATAAGAACAAATCCATAGAGTGCTCAGAAAACTTCGCAGGGTTGCAGATGGTCCCAGTTGGTCAGAGAAAATTCCCAATTCAGGTTAAATGTTATTTATCACATCACGTCACTGTCTGATTGTGACCACTTACATTTAACCTGCAGCAATGAATGCAAGATGAATCAAAACTACGTCCAGATTGTCACTTTCAAAATGCTTGATCCTACAATTCCCACAATGCAACTCAACAGCATTTTTCACTAGACCCTCCCTGCCTGCTAAGTGCCCCCAGTTTATCTCGCAGTTTGTTTTTATTTATTTTCCTGTGTATACCTTGTCTCACTCAGGCATACAGATATGTGCAGTTTTTAAACGTGGAAAAACCCACTAAAAGAGGCAATAGACGCCTTTCAGTAGACTAGTGTGGCTGTCTGTTTATTTCCTACTGGTGTTTCACATACAATGTCAATGACTATGCAAGAAAACATGGTTAGTAAACAGCAGAGAGCAACATGGAGGCCAGTGAAAATGTTACCGTGGTTTCTTTTTGTTTATATCTGGTACCTATTCAGTCTCTCCTTCATTGCCTTAGCTGGTTTAAAGGGACAGTACACCCAAAATTAAAAAAAAAAACATTTTATCTCTTACCTGTAGTGCTATTTATCAGTCTAGATTGCTTTGATGTGAGTTTCTGAGTGTTGGAGATATCGGCCGTATAGATGTCTGCCTTGTCTCTGATAAAATGGAACTAGATGGCACTCTGCTTGTGGTGCTCAAAGTGCCCGGAAAAATACATTTAATGAAACTCAACAGCAATGTCTCTTTCCAGAAATCATGACCCAGTTACTCAAGATAATCCACAAACCTTGTTGTGAGCAGTTTCATGTAGGAATTATTTTCTTTCTACTGAACTACACTACACTCAGCACCAAAGCAATCTAGATTGATAAACAGCACTACAAGTAAGTGGAAAATAAGTATTTTTGATTGTGGGGTGAACTGTCCATTTAAAATGCCCGTTACTACAGTAGATGGGCTTTTATAGAGTGCTGCAGGGATGATGGTTTTTTGTAGGCTGACATGGAAGTTACTGTCGCCCTGGTTCCCTTGTCAAAAAGTCAGTTGGATTTTTTATTGTATTTTGGATTATTGCAGAAAGTAAGCTCTGTGGGAACAAAGATTTATCATACATGTTTGTAAATTTCCACAAATGAACACGACTCTTATGATTTCAGAAGCATAAATGCAATCGCCCAAAGTAAAAAGCTAACGTTAAACTTTAAAGGAATTACACTACAGTTGCACCATAATTCAGGCTGTCAAACCATGTTCGGCGTGATGATGTTCTGTAGTCTCATTTAGCCACTTGTTTGAAACCATCTTTTTTAAGACACATAAAAGCTTCATAATTCATGAATGAGGAGATATTTCATGTTGTAAAACAAAAGCTTGTGTTAACCACAGACCTTGTTTCAAGCATCAAACCAAAATCCATTAAAAAGAACCCACTGACTCTGAGATGAGGGAACCAGAGGTACTAAAATGCTTACTTATTTCTGGGTTTTAGGACTCAATCCTGCACTGCTCTATCTACTAAAGTTGGAATAAAGTCATCTGAGTTTGGACTATGCATGGCTGCGGATATGGGGACTGTAATAATTGACCCACTTGCTGGTCAGTGGGGTTTAAACGGGTGCATAATGACAATGTAAACCAGAATAACTTACAAATATTCCAGTTTGGGCAGGTCAGTGAAGGCCCCCTTCTCAATCACCCTCAGACTGTTGATATTCTGCACTAAACTGCGGGTGTAAAAATAAGGAAAAGTATTAGTAATTACAATATTGCTGTCTGAGGCTGTCAACAAACAAACACAGAAAAGCCCATTCATACATCAGCCGCTCTGAAAGTCAAGGATTAAACACGCCGCTTTGTAATTGAGAGACTAATCCTGTGAAACTTAAATGCAATGCAAAACACGTAGCAGCTGTTCGAATGAATAATTTCTTTCATCATGCTGTTTGAATTTGATGTGTGGCGGAAGGTAAAGTGTCACTTACATTTGAGCCAGGCTGCGGAGGGAGAGGAAGGCATGTCTCCGTATCTGTGCGATGCAGTCGCTCTGGGAGATCTCACTGTGGCACAAAGACATGGCTCCACATCAGTCAACAGATTAACAAGAGCCTGTAAACAAATTACTCCTGAAATGTCTCAGATCAAGCTGGTAAACATGAGGTTTTAGCGAAACAAATATTAAGAGTGATGCAAGTTATGGCTTTCTTTCCTTACTTACTTTTTAATGCACTTGTTTTAGAAATAGGACAGAGATGATTGATACTGGGCTACAAGCCATGAGGGAAATATTAAAATACCACCAACAACAATTCACGCTTCTAGGGCACTACGACGCACATGCTTCACCTCATGTTTTGGAAAAGCTCCAAACATATATCAGGGATGCATCTGGGCCAGGAAGACTAAGTGAAGATGTTTAAAAAGGAGGACTAAACAAAGACGTTCGGAGACAAACAAAGTCAACAAGACTTCTTGATTTGTCCTTGAACACTTTGTTTTCTGATGGAGGCATGGCTGACTTCCCTCTCCGAGCTGCTCTCCATCTTCTCCTTGTAATCATCGTTTTCTCCCACTCTGTTGTAATCAGCCGACACTTTTCTTAGGTTAGCGTCACTCAGCTTCAATCTCATACAACAACAACAAAAAACAACAATTAAATGACTCCATCTGTACTGCTTGTATTTTTCCTTTGATGCCCTCCTCTGATTGCATTATGTATAGTGTTATAATTACCACTAACCGCTCATAAAAAGCTTTTTCACATCTAGAAAAAGCTGGGCCGTGATTTCCAGTTTGCGTCAGCGATGACAAACCACACACATGTCATTCTACCTTGACACAGGTGTTATTGGCTAACTCGCTATGGGCTGAAAAGACCAAGGATCACAGCTTGTAACCTCATTTCAACCTGAATGTGTTTTATCACTTAAAAGTATTTTGCGATAGAGGCAAGATTTGATCATAATGAACACATTATGTTTAGTACTGTAAGTATCTGCGGCTGATAACACTTGTCCCTGAGGAGCAGAGCAAAAACTAAAACACACTCGACACAAACTGGCTGAAAAATTATTTCACCACAGGCTAACACATGTTATCTGCTCATCAAACTGTTAGTGATATCTTAATTAAATGGTGAAACCCATTCAGGATAATGTGGTGGCTTTAGGACTCGGTATTTAGTAGCTGTAAACATGATAAAGATGAGACCTAATTAATCAGCGATTAAGAGGGAAGGAGGTTAGGTTTTCACCTGTCTGTTGATTCTAGGTGAGATATATCACTCAGCTGTAATTAGATTTGGCTGAAATTCTTACTGATACTTGTTGCTGTGTAGTGTGTCTTCTTGTGAGACTTTCAAGTCAGCTGGTCTTAAAAAGAATAAACTTTAAAGCCTATCTATTTGGCCTTCACTGTGTCACAGCTGTGGGATATACTGTACAGCTATCGATCATGTTTAAAGGAATACTTCACCCCCCAAATGACCATTTGTATATCAGTTACTCTCCCCATGTCATGATGAATTCCTGAAGGAAACTTTATTTCTCTGGTATTCTTTCACAGTAAACGAAGAATCCAAAAACTGAAAAAAATCTTGATGAATTGAGTCAATGGGGTCCATGTGTAACAACAGCAAAACTATATCAAAACATCTGTTTACAAACTCTCACACAACTTGTGCAGTATAATCCAGGTTTCATTTATCCAGTCATGAGCTCAGTACTTCCAAAACAGACAGCCTTTTCTTATGGGACATGGGGGAAGTTTGCCTAGAGGTCTTTTGTGGCAGAAATCTATTCATTGTAAGCCAAACAATGCTTTTTTTTAACTGAATGAACACTGGAGTTGCTGGTCTACCACTGCCACGATCAGTTTGTTTGTTTTATTGTGTGACTTCGGTGTTTTAAAGGGTTAGTTCAGAATAATCAAAGTAACACAATATCACAAACAAAATTACAGTTTTTGTCCATTAAGTCTTGCATTGAAAAGTTTCACTTTCTGTTTAATCCCCGTCGAAAGGTAGTTAAGGAAGTTTGTCGAGAGGGCTTTCTGCCAGAAAGGGATTTTTTTGCTTAAGGTTTGGAGAAAAATCATTGTTTGGGTTAAAATGAATAGATTTCTGCCAGAAAGCACCAAGTGTCATCAGAAAGGCACATTGGAGAAGTTTTCCTTGGAGACTTTCTCCCAGAAAGTGCTTTCAGACAGAAATCCATTCATTTTAACCCAAAACATGACTTATTTCCTCACCTTAACCAAGAGGTCCCATACTGGCAAAAAATTCTCAAAAAAAAATTCTCCCAGCTGCTCAGAAAGGGGCTGTCTGTTTGGGAAGTACTGAGAATACTTCTCCAATAAATGAGACTTGGTTTATTCTGCACAAATGTGTGACAGTTTGTAAGTGGATGCTTTGATGTAGTTTTGCTGTTGTTTAACAATGTCCCCTATGACTTCATTTATCCAGGATTTTATCAGTGTTTGGATTCTTCGTTCAAAGTAAAAGCATGCAAGAGAAACAAAGTTTTATTCCTGAACTCAGTGTACCACAGGATGAGTAACTGATAGAGAAACGGCCATTTGTGGGGGTGAAGTAGTCCTTTAACAAAGACTAATTTCCATCTGATTCCTGGATACAGGTCATTCACTTTCACTTTACGTCTCATTACTGATTGGAACAAGTACCTCAAGGCTACTAAATGGCATTCACGCGTAATTCTAAACAAAGCATTCGTTAGAAATGTGATGACTTCAGCATGTGGGTGAAACTTTTACATAAAACCTGACTGTGCATTCACTGAGTTGGTGATCACAGCATAGGATGTAAACTGCAGAGAAAGACATCAAAGTGAAATGCAGTTGTGCTGGGATTTAATTAATAGTCCTGAACAAATGTTCACCTCTTCCTCTGATGCTTTTCCTGCACAAGCATTTGGTAAATCTCCAGTGCAATGGTTGAGTCTTTATTAGTCAGAGTTCACTGGGTCATAACACATAACATACATGTGTTTAAAATATAAAAGGACTAAATATTAGATGTTTGTTTCTTACTGCAAGCTTGATTTCTGAAAGTGATGTGGTTTTTCATTATCACAGAAATAGAGATATCATGCGTCCACATTACAATATTTAAGTAATTTTAAAAGACATATATCACAAACACAGTGGAAACAGTGGCAAAAAAGACTCTTCATACTAAGCAGTATGCACATAAATCATACTGTATACTACAATGTTTTATTAAATACTTTAAAATATGAACTTGATCTCATTTCAAGACTTCTGTTGTGAAGTGTCAGAGGCAGGTGGATGTGTGTATGTGTCCTGTAGACTCCTTCTCTATGTCCTACTGGTGCTACAATACACTCCTACATACATACCTGGGTAAATTGCCCAATTCAACACTTTCTAATAAAGTAGTTTTATTTTCTACTCCAGAAGACATACTGTGACTGCTCTGACCAATAGGTGGCGCTACAGGGAAAGTATACTTTAACTGTATTTGGTGGATAATTGCCAAAGACTCATACTACAGAGAAAAATGTCTTCTTTTAGTCCTATACATAGCCATACATAACATTTCCTTACAGTGGAAAACACATGATATAGTACTGATAATAATTATACAGGGTCAGTCAGATGTATATCAGGTTGAGTTGTATGTCCAAATTATGTCATGTTTCAGGACTGGCAACATTAATTGTGTTAATTGGGTAAATGCATAATATATCTGCTCATTTAAAAAGTTTTTGCTCAAGTTTAAATGGTCTTTGCTTGTAAGTTTCATCAAGGCTACATTATATGTCAGCAGTAGTGTCACCTTTTTCTGAGTTAAACCCAGCTTTAATTCACCCACTATATATTTCTTCACTCAACAAGAACATATAATATGAAACAAGAAACTTACATTACTGTAATGTTGACCAGGTCCTTGAATGCATGAGTTGGGACTTCTTTCAAGGGCAGATGATTGAGCCGTCTGTAAGATTTAGAAATAAAGTTGATAGCCTCACTAGTGAACAGGGAACTATAGAATCCAAAAAATGTCTAAAACAATTCTTAACATTCACATTTATAATACTTCAGTTAGGTTTAACAAAAATTTCTTCTAGGAATATTGAAGTGAGAGTAGGGGAAATAAAACATATTTAAAGTTAGTAAGAAGCCAGACACAGTAAGTCCCAGACGAAGAATAAGTAGAGTCCTTAAAGTAGCTACCACAGATGGGCTCATTGTAAAGTATCTCAGACCCTCTGCAGGAGGATCACACAGCTTTTAGACTGATATACTACCAATACTAAAGCTGGGCTAAAAGTTGGGTTACTTACAGTCGAGGCACGGATGCTGCTCCTGCCCGAGAGGCCAGCTGAGTGTCTCTGCCGCACTGAAAAGTGTCTGCGCTGCAGCGGCAGATGGCAGGACAGGTATAAGCCCAGCAGGAGCGCACATTCAGGACACCGGACAGCGCGACCAGGAGCCAGACCGCCCGGGGAGCCATGCGTGACACCGGGCCACTCACCGCGGGACTAATATAAATAAATAAAATAAAGGAAAAACTCTGCTGAATCTCCTTAAAGTTGAAGATAAAAAACAACTGCTGAGGATTCTCTACCATGCCAGTCAAAGGCGAAAGGCAAAATACTGTTACGGTCTTTTTTTTTTTTTTTTCTCCACCTGAGCTCAACGAGTGCCAGGATCCACTGCTGCCTTCAGGCGCAGTCGTAATTGCGAGTTTGTTGCCGGTCTGGAGGTTTCAACAAAGTGAAACTCAGGCGGATATTTCTTTGACAGCTCGAGCTGCACAGATGTGACGTTTAGTGGGTGGAGACGATACAAGCTCAGTCAAAGACTGGTGTTAAAAGTGATGAGGTGGGGTCAGCTTAGTATTTAAAAAAAATCGATTTGTAAGAGGGGAGAGTAACTGTATTTACATTTTAATGTACTGATAAATATTTTTAAAATAATAATGATAATACTAAATGCAGTCCATTTAGCATTTACATTTTTAGTTTGAAGGCACAGTGTCACTTCTGCACAATAAAGTGAGCCTGACCAAAATTATACAAACATGATACTCACTCTGATAAAGTAGGCTACACAACTTAAAGGTCCAATGTGTAGGACTTACGGGCATCTATTGGCAGAAATGGTATCTAATAATTCTAACCACATTTTTATTAGTTTATATGTAACAGGGTCAATCATACAGCAGTAATATGTGTAACAAAGTCAAATGTACATTTGTAATATCAAGTATTATAATTCTACAAAATTTGTTTCAGTTGTTATTACCTGACATGCTAAGGCCTCCATACTCAGTATGTGGAACATTTGATACTCAATTTCTGTACCCCTATATGCACCTTTGGGGGTACCCCACCTATATAGGGGTGTCACCCTCCTTACCTGTCCCCTTTTGCTGTTGTGCTCTGTGGAAGAAGTAAGTGACATTGCTCTTGTGGTAATTTTCATGTTTTAGCACTGTTAGGCTATGTTCATTTTATGCTAACATATTCTTGTGTTGCTTAATTAATGTAGGCGCTCAGGGTTGTATGGTTGTGTTTGACAGAGGATTTTATTTTTGCCACTTGCTGTCAGGTATGTTTTCTGTGTTCCATTGTGCTTAACTGAATGTAACATGACGCCCTTTTGCTGTTGCGCTAGGTGGGAGAGGGGCTTGAGTTTGTATGGTTGTGTTTGACAGAGGATTATGTTTTTGCCACTCGCTGTCAGGAATAAATTGCCTCCAAAGATATCCATGGTCTAGGCCTCTTTATATAAACACAATGCAGATATTAGAGTCCACCACTTACATATCATCACCTGAATATAAAAATAGTTGTGTTTTCATTACCTTAGAATGAGTTGTTTATATCCACATATGGAGTGGGTCCTCTTCCATGGAGTCTGCCATGTTGTTTCTACAGTAGCCCAGAACGGACAAACCAAAAACTGGCTCCAGATAGCCCCATTCGCATTTTCTTGTTTTCGTGTCAGCCACCATAGTTCTCCTACACACCAGGGACACAGGAGAAGTTTAAGTTCTGCAGCTTCACTGCTAGATGCCACTGAATCCCATGATTTGCATACATGCTCGATACTGAAGGTGAAAGTGATTATCAAGTATTAAGCACGTTACAGCATATGGATTTTTACATCAAATGAAAATTAATGGATACCTTGAAGAGGAAAAATATGCATTTAAATGTGTTAAAGCAAAGTGATTTGCAAATTATTCAGCTGAAATGCACTTTGGAGCTAAATCATACAGCACTTCAGGTATGGTCCTTTCAATATATCTTTTATATTTATTTTTAATTAGGTACAATTTTGAATGCAAGGCTTGTGATGGAACATGTTCCACTGTCTGCTATACATTATCTCCTATTCATTCTCTCAGAGCTCTGCTGGATTTCCCGAGTAAATGTCTAAACTTAATGATGTTCACTCTTTTATCAATCCTAATAAATGCACTCAAATGCACCAGCAAATACAGATGCAAACAAACTTGGAAATAGGCTCACGTACACATATTTGCACCCGAAGGCAGCATATCCCACCTACAGAGGCTGTAAATAGCCCTAAAAAGGAATCATCACCATCTTTTTCCAATACAAACACCATCAGATAGAAAAAGAGCAAGTTTCAAAGCTTTAATGTTGTAATCTTAAAAATGACAGAAATCAAACCTGATGTTAGAAAATAAACAAAGACACTCATCATCAAAATCTGAGCTGCTGCTGAAGCTGCAGCTTTATTTTTTACTTATGGCCTGGCCTACTCTGCAGCATAATGTGTTTTTATGTTGACTCATTCAAATCTAAATATTAATTCACACAGGGAAAAAAACACTGAAAACTGGGACTTTCAAAGTTTGAAAGTTGTTGGTATGACGCAGTTCATTAGTGTAAAGAATTGCAACCCGACCTGCAAAGGAAATAATGCAGAAGAAAAGGTTTACACTGTTGTGCGGTGCAGCTCATGTCAGTGGGCCGCCAGACTTAAAGGACATAAAAACAGACAGACAGACCCCCCTGAAAGCTGGATGATGTTGACCAACAAGTCCACCGTGTTAGTTTAATTTCTGTTGGCTAACAGTGGCTCTGCTCCATTGAAACTAATGGTACAACCAAGTCTGTGTGTCTGCAGAGAGTAACAGGCCCCACAGCCCCTTTTAACTGTATCCATGGATGAAAATGAAGCTCAGACAGGATGCTTCTGTTTGTTGTTCCAGTGGAAAACACTTTTCATAGGGTGACCTTTCAACCTAGAAGAAGGAGAGTGGGGGAGAAAAACGGTTTAATACGCCAATACACATTCACTAAAGCCTCTTTGCTGTAAAACTACATATGCTTTTATAACACTTCAGATCACAGGAGGCAACACAACAACGAGCCCAGGTCCCATTTACACCAGTTTGTCAAACGAAAAGCTTCATGTCACCACCGTCCTTAGCTGAATCTCCTCTGCTGTCAGTGACCCTGACCCCATTTACAGCTTTCCAATCCTGCTCCTCCACACTGCCACTGTGACCCACGACAACAGAGCAGCAACACCTTCTTCTCACTGCTACTGTGTAATCACCACACACACACACACACACACACACACACACACACACACACAGGCTCAATTCCCTGGAGAGGTTACCGCCCAGTACTGTTTACCAAGACTCTTGCATTCCCTGCCAGCCTCTCAGCTGTGCACAGTGTCAGGTTCCAGTATGTTTAACCGAGTAGAAGAAAAAAACCCCACACTGACAGGGAGGGAGAGACTAATTTATGCAAGTGGACCTCTATAAATCAGCCCACGTCTTCATGCTATAACACCACGCTGTGCATCACATCACACCTAGAAGGTCACGCACAGCAGGGGGAGACTTTCAAGAGAAAGCATACGGACCCAATCTCAAAATCAGACCGACATCACATTAAAATTTCGTAATTGCCTGACAGAATGTGAAAAATAAGTGGTTACACTTATTTTAATGGTCGATTGTTTGATTAATGCCGCTTTTCAGGCATTAGCTGTGCTTTAATAGCCAGCCCTCTGCCTGCTTTTTGGATTCATCAGCGTGGCTGGAACAGCTAATGCTGAAATTTGGATAGATGGGGCACACTGTTAAAGAAAAAGGAAGGCCATCAGTTTAGCTTCAGGCAGGTAAGAATAATCTGTGATATCACTCCTACAGCTCATGATAAAAATCAGTACAGTAAAATTGCTTTTGTTTGACGAATAAATGCATGATGAAAATGTTGAATGTGAGCTGAAATCCAAAGTACAAGTTTGTCTTCAGGAGCTGCTGCTTATTAAATATCTACGTGCCTCCCTGCTCCTATAGTGCTCATTTTGCTGCAGTTTTCTTTAGTTGGCTCAGTTTACATTCTCAGTCCGAACAAGCCACAGTTCACCTGCAGAAGGCTTAAGGTCATGTTTACACCAAGCAGGATTAGAGCGTTTTACTCTGAGACCATGTCGACTCCTCTGCAAGATAAACTTTAAAACACACTTTCTCTCACTTGGTTTTGGTATTGGTATTGTTTTTGTGTTTCTATGTGGACTGCATACAGAGAAAAAGCTGCCCTTGCTGCTGAGGATGTAAACCTTTGAAATGTCAACGGTATTAATTTGTGATTGCAGGTTAGAAAAAGATGGACTACTTTTTTCTTTTTTTAGAGGACCACTGGGGCAGATGAGAACCGTGTCTTTCAGACCTGTGTGCATGTGGAACAACAGACTGTAGCTGTGATCGCACCCCACGATGTCACCTTCACCTGCTTTGTTACTGTACGTTGTTAGAGGTTCCTTTTTTTAGGGACGAGGTTCTACTTGCCTCTGGGTGGGAGGCTGTTGACCTGTCAGCATCCCGCTGGTTATCAGGGCACGCAAGGAGAGGAGCACAACACAAAATGACGTGACACAGTTAAGACACCACGCAACCCGGCTCAGCGCAACACAACGTAGCATAAAACAATAGACCACAACGTGAGACAACACAAACCAACACGACAACACATCACAACATGGAAGTACACAAAAAGGGCACAAGCATCAGTGAAACACATCAGGGCTGCTCTGAGTCAGAACAGGCCTGCAGTCATTACTGAAAGTGGTGGAAGCTGCAATTGGTGTCAAATGCTGTTTACTTGCTATTTTCACAGAGAGTGACATTTTCAGGGAGTGAGTTCAAGAGTGAACACACATCAGTGTGGCATTTGAGGTAATTGGCAACAGGGGCACTGAGTGTGTTCTGAGTCCCTTTGTTTTATTCTTCGCCGGGGCTGCAGCTCAGCAGCGAGGATCAACTTCTTTTTGCCACTGTAAAACCGAAAAGGTTTGCTTCTTTCAGTCCGAACGGATTTAAAACAACCCCTCTGGTCCACTCTCGGTCAAATTAAACCAATATTATGTAACACTGCTTTTCAAGGCATTAACTCTTTTTAGAATTCATGTAAATTCTGCCAATTTAAATTAAAGCAGAATGATACATATATTACTTAGAAGTCA